TTAAAACAATTCTTAAAGCTTATTATGGTAGGGAAGATAGAAGGAAAACGAGGCATCGGAAGAAAGAAATACTCATGGCTTAAAAACATAAGGAATTGGACAAACCTCGGTGCCTCTTTAGAGCCACACAAGATCAAGAGGAGTATGTCAGAATTGACGCCAATGTCCACTAATTGGATAGGGCACCATAAGAAGAAGAAGTCAAAACAGATTCCGATAAGTGATAATAAATTTTAAGATTTGACATTAAAACCACCAAAGCTAATAGGAAATGAGAAGACATGTTTGTACCCTTACATAAAATTTTTGATTTGCTGAACGATACTTTTTTAAGATATTTTACACTAGGTAAGAACATCGTAATAAACGAAATGTAATCTTTATTTCAAGGCACATGCCCTTCAAAGTTTAAATAAAAGAAAAGCCTCTTAAATATGGTATTATTTAACGAAAATTTGCAGATTGAAAAAAACTCGTTACGTTTTGTGTATAAAGGTTTATGCAGAAAAATATGTAGGCAGCATACCAGCATCCAGGGGTCCACAGGAAATAATAAAAAGTTTACAGTCTCCGATTTGAATCAGTAATTAAAGCGTACTCTATTCATTCTCAATTTTTCAAATGAGAATAAAACTAATTCTACCTCTTATTGAAAGAAGAGCTGCAAATTTAAATGGATTTTATCATTTTGTACTGCATGCCATGGAAAGTATACTCGAACGAAAAATTTTCCAAGTTGTACCTTCAACAACATGCAAAGGGAGAATGCCACTTACATTGAAAATTAGCAAAATAGATGGATGCGGTACGCACAGCAAAAAGTCAAATGTTTGGGTATCCTGCGATGATGCCAATTCCACTGAAGCCGAAGACTTTAATTATAAAATCTTACCTTTTAACTGTTCCATTAATGTCTAGGAATACTTTGCAAAAGTGTTATTTTTAAATTTGTTTTAATAAACCAGAACGTTTTTAATTAATATATGTGTGGACATTATTTATTGACCTTCTTGGTCCTCGCTGTTTGTAACAAAAGGTGGTTCCTGCAAGGGTTAAGGTCGGACTTTAAGTTATTTTCCGGCAAAGTCCGAAGCTTACTTATTACAAATTAAGCATTGCTATTGCCTTTTGGACGGTTGTGTATTAGTATCATATCATAAAATAGAAAAATATATTACAGACGAAGTTTCTCCTCCTGGTACTTTAGCTGTAGCTTAACAATTAGGCTGAATGACCACGGAAATATTTATAAAATGGATTTCCAAAGCATTTCCAAAGTTTTGTAAAAGCAAGCATTGACGATTAATAAATTCTAATTGATGATGGACATGGAAATCATAAAGGCATTGAAAATTTGGAATATTCAAAAGAAAATTCATGTTATTTGTCGGCCTCCACATTACACTCATCGTATGCAATATCTCGATGTTACATTTTTAAATCATTTGAAGACCTACTACAACCAAGAAGTTGCTAAATGGCCAAAGGCACACTCGGGACGTGTTGTAACGCATCTTACGGTCACCGGCTTGTTCAACGAAGCATATGGCAAGGCACTTACAGTGTAAAATGTATGTCACGAATTTAAAAGCACTGGCATAAGCCAGCTTAATTATAATATATTTCCGGAATATTATGTACGAACTTGAACAGCCTCCTCAACATGCAACAGTAATGAACCACATACCATTGTGCATGTTTTTGTCTCCAAACAAGGTGTTGTATATTTTTAAATGTATTTTTTTCACTCAACTATATAAATTTTATTTTATTATTAATTATATTCTTCTTTCCGTGGTATCTAGTACATTATTATCATTCCTTTGCGGTATTCGTGATTTATATATGACCCTAACAAGGAAAAGAGGCAACATTGGGAGTAAGTTTTACCGCAGCCTCTTAAATAATAAAGTGTTAACCCCAGTTGATTGTTTGGATTCCGTTTGTCACCTCCAATTAAAACTCCATCTGTGTTTCTTATCGATTTTTCCTTTTCTTTAGCCTACTCCATCCTACTTCACACTAGTAATGTGTGAGTGTTTTTGCTCCGTATTCGGTAACTCGACAAGATAGTATTCCTAGACGTTTTCCACATTTAAAATAAACTTTGATACAGTGTATATTTTTCCAAAAATTTTAGTGTGTATTGAGAAACTAGCTATTTTTACAACACAAAAACAATGTGTACGTAATAATTTGTGGACAAATAAAGAAATAAACAAAACATCACAAAATAATTAATCGTAAACAGGAAAATTTGTACAGAATGGAGAAATGAACTAAAAAAATGGAATGGATAAAAACAATCACGATATCAACACTAACATTGGCGGATAAAAAAAAACGAAGAAGTTTGAAGATTTATAAATTTAATTTGGACATCACATAAAGAAATAACACACAACAAGATTATCTAAATGAGTACATTACAGAGGATATAGATGTACAACAAAAGTGCTTGTGGACCTGAGGGAAGAAATCAATATTAAATATTAAATCTTAGAGCCTTCTGTCAGTGCCCCAATCCAATAGACGCTATACAGTAACAAAAAATTGTATGTAGGTAATTATTTCTCACAAAAGCTACTTATTAAATATTTGAAAAAGTATTTAGTCCTTATTTAAATATATTTTTTTTATTTAAACACAAAACCACATCAACCGCGCAGGGTTATTAGTGGCTGTAACAAATACATGAAATATTACATTAAATCATCATCATCAATGGTACTACAGCCCTATGAAAGAGCCTCGACCTTCCCAAGTCTATTGCGCCAGGCAGTCCTATCCATTGCCAACCTTTGCCAGTTTGCTGCGCCTATCTTTCTACCATCCTCATCTACACCATCCTTCCATCTGAGTTTTGGCCTACTCCTTTTTCTACTTCCCACAGGTTGTGACATAAGGATTCTTTTATAAGGGTTGTTCTGCTGTGATCTTGCTAGATGTCCTGCCCATCTTATTCTTCCTATTCTTATAAGAGATAATACGTCTTTACCACCAAATATTTGTTTATATCTGTGGTATACCTTGTAGTTGTATCTCCTTCTCCAAAGACCATTTTCACAGAAGGTCTTCGTCTGCCTTGGAGATGGTCCATGTGTCCGATAAATATGTTAACACTGGCTGTATAAGGGTTTTGTATATGGTTATTTTTGTTTTTTGGCTTAAGTTTCTACTTCTATTTGTCTACTCAGTCCAAAATAGCATCTGTTTGCCATTATTATCCTTATTACATTAAATACAATTGAATAAAGTGATGTCTTTTAAATTGCTTAACACTGTTGAAAATTTTTTGGTGAGAACTGTCTTGAGATCATCATCTGTGAATCCGTGGGATCTTATTTTTTCCATGAATTGAGGACAATCAAGCAGGATATGTTTGACAGTCAGTGGGTTAGAGCAGCTGGAGCAGATAGGTAGTGGTTCTTTTGTTATTAGGTATTTGTGTGTTAAGGCAGTATGGCCAATTCTTAAACGATTAATAGTGACTTGGTTTCTTCTGTTTAAAGGAGTCTCCAGGACATCAGTTATTTTTGAGCAAATTACATTTAGTTTAGTACCTAATTTTTCCCAATAATTTTGCCAAGTATTAATACAATGGATTTTAACCAGGTTTTTTAGATCGGTGTACAGATATGTCATCAATTGTGCAGTATGGTTTGAGTTCATTCGACTTTTGTTAGCCAGTTGAGCGCTTTTTCAATATGAAGAAGTTCACTTTCGAGATGCCGTGGTTCACAAATTCTCTTTGCCCTCTCCGCCAAATTTTTGATACCAATATTGGATACCAATATTAAAATCCAGAAACACTCTTTCCGCCAAACACGAAGAAGAAAAAGCTACTACAAACGACGACACACCCCTTCAAGCCAAAACCAGTGGAGAGGAGGCGACTGGGAAATATAAATATTGCAGGCAAAAATAAAATCAAGTCTTGGTCCAACATTCTATATCCTATCTTGTCCTATCATCTTCTTCTTCTTCTTCAGCCTGTGTTCGTCCACTGCTGGACATAGGCCTCTTCCATTTGCTTCCATCGATTTCTACTTTTGGCAATTCTCATCGACTGCTTGCCCGCGACTTGTTTGATATCGTCTGTCCACCTCTTCTGCGGTCTGCCTACTCCTCGCCTGTTCTCTCTTGGTCTCCAGTTTGTTAATCTTTGTGTCCATTTTTCGGGATTTTCTCGGGCAACGTGTCCGACCCATTGCCACTTGAGCCTTGCAATATGTTCTGAGACATCAGTAATTTTTGTTCTTTCACGAATGACGTTATTTCAAATCCTGTCTCTCAAACTAATCCCTAGCATGGCCCTCTCCATTGCTCTTTGGGTTGTACTGAGCTGCTCTAAGGTTTTCTTTGTGAAGGCCATGGTCTCCAGTCCATATGTAGTTACAGGCAAGATACATTTGTCATAAACTCTACGTTTTAGACACATTGGTATATCTTTATTCTTCACAATAAAGCTTAATTTGCCGAAAGCTCCCCAAGACAGTTGTATGCGTCTTTTTATTTCGGCTATTTGATTTTCTTTGCCGATTTTAATGGTATGATGTCCAAGATATATAGATAGATATATATATATATATATATATATATATATATAATATATATATATATATATATATAGTGGTCTACATTTTCAAGACTGACGTTGTCAATAACAAGATTAGTTTGTAAATTACTCATTATTTTTGTTTTCTGAAGGTTCATTTTGAGACCTATTTTATTTGACTGCTGGTTTAATTCCTTCAACATTTGCTCCAGTTCCTTGATATCTGTACTAAATAATACTATGTCATCCGCAAACCTATGGAATACCTACCGCATGTCCTATCATTAACAAGGAATGTAAAGAATAAAACAATTTTAAAGCTGTTTATAAAATGTTTATTTAAAAATGTTAATTAAAAAAAAATGTCACTAGTCGTTGATTGGTGGAATAGAATAGAAACATTTCATGATCTTAGTCCTATACTTCCTGGAATTGCATTTCTTTAGTAATAGATGAACCGCTAAAATATTGAAGAATTACATATTAGTGCAAAATATACAGTTTTTTAAACAATATCAAACAATATCGAAAGAGAAATATCCGAATAATCATTTTTTACCTTATTATCTATTCTTTTGTAGACACACTTCTCCATTTCCCATATTTTCTGTACAGGGTCTTTATCAGCTATAAAAATGTAAAAAAAGAGATTAACAAATTAGAAAAAACAAAAGTAGAGAAGAAGCACATAATGACTAAATGTAAAATAAAAACAAAATAATAGTTACAATAATGCAAGATCACAATTATGTCAAGCCTAAAGATTTAAAAACCTATTAATTTTCTTTAGGGATCTGTAAATTGTCATTATTATCATCAATCATCGTTCTCTTCTCGTCGAAGGTTTGTGACCATCAACTGGAACTCAACTTTATCTATATGTCGGTTTGTTGTATAATACTAAATTATCTTGCACTTGCCTCGTTTTAAATATAGCCTCAGTGCATGATCTTTCCGATCTAATACTTTGTTGTTTTTCTGTTAGTGTTACTGTTCAGATTATTTGTTGGTTGATAATGTTATTATTGTGACTGAAGAAATGTTTATTCTTCTATAGTTCTCCTGGTGCGATTTGCCCTCATTCTTGTGAGTGAGTGAGTTTTGCTCTATTATTTTTTGGATCAGTTTTAATAATTGTTTGGTCAGATCTGGTATTTCGTACTTTGGGAGTTCACTCGGTATTCTATCCTCTCTTGGTAATTTTATATTTTTAATTTACTTTCTTTTTAATTTTTATTTCTTCGTTTGTCGTCACATCTGATGGTGGTTCATTTTCGTCATCTTTAGCGAAATCTCGAAATGAAAGGAAACTGAACTGCAAAACGACTGAATAAAACAATGTCAAGAAATAGAGGAATAGAATATTGGGAACATGAGTCGACACAGCGAGAAAAAATACTAGAAACAGCAGACAAGGAAACAGAAAAAATGATGTTAATCCACTATGGGACAGAGCTAGAAATACAGATATACAACGAAGATGTAAAGTAGAGAACATCAAGAATTGGGAAAGAAAGAAAAGAGTAGAGTGGAACGGTCATATAAGCCCAATGACCACAAATATATTATAAAAGATAGCGAGAGCCGGTTCTTCAATAGGAAGATGCTCAGTAGGTAGTCCACGGAAAAGATGGATGGACAACTTACTGGAGGTAAACTAAAGAACATATATAGTTATGTGCACATCAGAATACAAAGAAGAAGAAATTTACAAAAAACTGAACTTTTTTGCTTTGTCAAATATAAATGGAATATATTTGTGTGTACTTACCCAAACTGAGAGCCATTTCATTACATTTAATATAGTGCACAGCATCCTGTTTTGTAACATTAGTTAAGTAGGTCATCATTTTTGGTACAATTATCCTATAATCTGAGTCCAACTACGAATGAAAAAATAATATCAGTATCTTTTTATTTGTGAATTTATTAACTTTTTTACCTCTCCTGCTTCGCTCCAAAGGCAGAAATTGTATCGCTGAAAAAGAATATTGGTTATTAATAGAAAAAAATTAGTTTAGAGTATGCATACTAACACTCTATCTTAAGGAGTTTTGTGTCTTTTGGATGCCTACAAATTTTAGTGTAGTCTTCACTATCTTACAATTTAAAATAAATATTCTCTCCTTGAGCTATCTTAGTCTTAAGACTAATGTCAGCAGTAATGCTAGTTTCGTTCAGTTGGCTTTTGTACTTCGTCAGCAATAATAATAAATGTGTTATTTACCAGATACGTATTTTGAATTATGTTTAAAAATTACAGTTTATCGCAAACATTATTTCCAGCAAGGTGACAACAAATTTTACGAAAAATGAACAAAACTTCTGACTCCTCGAAATATTCTTCCGGGTCAAAAACACCACGTTTGTAATCCTAAATTTCAAGATAAAAATTCACAATACCTGAATAAGTTTGAAAAGGAAGATTTAAAAATTGATCAAACGGACCGGTGGATGATTCAGATGATGATCCGGACTACCAAGAAGATTAGAGAGTAATCGATTATAAGATAAGTGACACTTTGGATAAAGAAAAAGCTGGAAGTCCAAGTTAAATGAACACAAATAAAAATGTAAATTATCCGTTTTTTATAGAAAAATGTAGATGTTTCGAAGGTAATGCAGGCCATTCACGTTCCGACTTGTAGTACTACTTAGTAGGACTACGAGTTGGATGTTCGTCTCCACTCACGCTCCGACTTTCTATCCAACTAGCGGTCCAACTTCATTTCTAGCTTGTTTTCACGATGGTGTACATCGCTTAATCAAAAAATGTATCGAATAAACAGTACGCAAATTATAATTAGGGGAAGGAAAATGGCAGCATTGTGCTTGTTATTCTTATATGTATGTTATGATATGTATGTTTAAAAATTAGGTTTCGTTTCTCTAGTTATTTGTCTAGGGCTGAACTAATTAATTTTTTCAACTCTTGATTTTTATGACTTTTTAAGATGTAGGAAAAAATTATAGTTTTGAAAGATTTGTGTAGGTATAAAACCTATATTCTATTATAGAAAGAAATAAAAATTTGTTTTAAACTGGAGCTGGGATTTATTTTGTTGTCTGTGTACCGTATATTTTAATAGGAATCATTTTTCGTGCAATTGAAAGTTATTTTCTATTATTTATTTGCGAACTAGGGATCTTTGCTACAACTATGATTTAATTTCCATTCATTGTTTGTTGATAATTCTTCTGTAACCAATCCGAAGTGTTGGAAGTTGTACCTGTGTGGAGTGTCCGAAATAGATCTAGAGAAAGGAAAATGATTTGTTCTAACAAAAAGTAGATGATGATTAAGAATCGTGTATTTTAATAATGGTAATTTTTGTGCAATTGAAAGTTATTTGCAATTTTTTGTTAATAATAAATAAATCCCATACGTAACAGGTGCCGAAGGTCAACTGACCGAGAAAATTTTCGATCCAACCTGTGATCCGACTTCCAACTTCACCATTCACGCTCCGACTTCGTCGCCAGTGGGAAGTCGGATCTTCAGGTTGTCCCACTAGTCGTACCACTAGTTGTCCAACTAATCCAACTAGCCCACTCACGGTCCGATTTCAGATCCAACTGCAGAAGTTGGACCACTAGTCGTACCACAAGTCGGAACGTGAATGGCCTGCATAATTGCTAATTGTTTTGGATTTTACAATCTTATTTTTCTTCCTACTTGTTAGTAGACATTAAATTCTGTTTCCTCTTTAATTTTAGCCTCCTAATGTGTTTAAATTATCGCACCATCTTTTTATGTGTCTGCCAATACTTCGTCTATTTGGCAACATCTCATGCTATTCATTTTATTCCATCCTCTGCCATTCTACTAATGTGTTCGTTCCACTCCTGTTTCCGTTTTGTCAGCCATCCATCTATGTCTTCTATATTGCATTCAAAGTCTTCTATTATTGCATTGAAAAGTCAAATTCACCAGACTTTTCCCTGATATTCGTAGCAGTATTTTCATATATGTTGTTTCTAGTAGTCCTCTCGCTTTAGATATGTCAGGTCTTGTCTCCACCGTATATGTTAAGGTATAATTGCTGCTTTATAAAGTCTTGTTTTTGTGTCTTGTCTTAGGTGTTTGTTCTTCCAGATTGTGTCATTAAGGGATAATCTCGCTACTTTACTTATTTTTAGGCTTTGTTGTCGTATATTAGATATCGTCATACATTTGGTTTTTCTGCTGATATTATCATATTGTATTTCTTGGCTGTAGTATTGAAGATGTGAATCTCGGCGATTAATGCGGCGTCGTCTACATAACCTACTATTTGGATTTCTTTGTTTTCCCTTCTGTAATCATGCCCTTTACGTACTGCTTGTATTATTTCATCTATTATTAAATTAAAGAGAACTGGGCTTAACGAGTCACCCTGTCTGACTCCGCTTTGTACTAGTATACACTGTGTTACTTTTCCATATATCTTTGCTTGTATTTGATTATGGAAGTAGATGTTTTCGATGATTTTTATAATATTGATTGGTATGTTTCTTTTATACAGTGGATGCAAGTCGTCTTTGACTTGGATGCGAGCAAAAGCCTTTGTCAGATCTATAAAACATAGATATGCTAGTTTATTGTACTCGATTGCCTTTTCTGTGATTTGTCTTAGTACAAAGATGTCTTAGGCATCTACGCAGGATCTTCCGTATCTGAACCCTAGTTTTTCATCTGATAAAGTTGTTAGTGTATTGATTTTGTTGGTTACGAATATTGTGGTAAGCTTAAGTGCGGTGTTCAGTAGATATATACCTCTATAATTGTTGCAGTCTTCTTTATCTCCTTTCTTGAGCATTGATATCATTATGCTGTTTCTTTATGCATCTGGTATCTTACAGTGAAATATTAGTTTTTGTATAAGCTTTGACATCTCTAGAATTATACTTTGTCCTCCATGTTTTAGCTCCTTGATTATTCCGTCTGCTCCTGGCGACTTACTATTTTTGAGTGAATTTATGGCTATCTCTACTTCCTGAAAACTGATTTCTATATTTCTTGTCTTATTTCAGGTACGTCATTGTGTTGATTATTATTTTTCTTTCCTATAAACAGTTTCGTCAGGTATCTTTTTCATTCGTTTTGTGGTATTAATTGTATCATTTCATCAATTCTACTATTTCTTTCCGTTGATTTCTTATGCCGGGTCCAGACCAAGCAGACAAAACAAAAACATTCATGTTTCGCGACAAAGTGGCGACAAATCGAAAACATTTGATGAGACATTTCTGAAACAATTTTGTTTTGTTTGCAGATTTGAAAACTTTTTCAGGTCCCGTTTCAGGTCGGTTAAGATCAAAAGGTCTGTGTTTTGTCTGTGTTTTTGAGGACAAGTTGTCGACGCACTGTGGACGCGTGTGCGTGCCAAAACGAGTTAAGCAGTAAGAGAAATAGAATGTACAATTTTTATCAAAATCAAGTGTATTTTTCTGTTGTGTAGTGAATAAATAAATACTAGTGTATTTTTCTAAACATGTCGGGGGACAAAAAGTGGAATACACAAAATACATGCAAGTTAATAGAAATTTACAGGGAGCATCCGATATTATGGGACCCTAAAAATAAAGATTATAAAAATCGCTACAAGAAAGCCGATGCATTACAGGAAATTTCTTTATCGCTAAATGTGCCACTAAATGATGTTGAAAAAAAAAAATAAAGAATGTTAACAACCAGTATGCTAGAGAAAGACGAAACTACAAGAAACTTAAAAAATCTGGGGCTGGGAAACTTTTCAGTTCAAAATGGTTTGGTTATGGTAGGAATCACCTGTTGCTAAAAATCTTAAAGAGATTGCTAAACGTTCTGTTACACTTATAGCATTTCGAAAGTTAGTATGTCTTTTTGCAACTGCAGGACCAACAAGGCATATTAGATTCTCAAAATCATCGGTGGACATTCTTAAAAAATTTTTGAAGCTTGATCGAATTTCACCACTTAGTCCAATATCATCTGCGCGCAGCTGAACTAACAATTTGTCTATCGAACAACTTTCTCGCATTTTTAGGCTTGGTCTAATCCAAAAACGTTTGGGTTTTCGTTTAGCAACCTGGGATGATGATGAGAGCAAAAAAAAACAACTTGCGGCTAGCAATAAATCTTCAGTTTCATTTTTTTCTTGATTAAAACGCCACATGGTTAACCAACACTAATCACAACAACAACGTCACCAACTGAATTTTGTTTTTATATTTTGTTGTTCTGGTGTGGACAGTTTGTCTCAATTTTGTTTTGTCTTTTGACGACAAATTTTGTCGCCGATTTATCGTGTTTTTGTTTCAGAATTGTGTTTTCGTTTTGTCTGCTTGGTCTGGACCCGGCATTATGAATCTCTATATTTGTTTTTGTGTACCGTAGAAGTCGCTTTCCATCCTTTTTGTAAACTGTTCCCATTATTCATTTTTTGTTCTTTTTACCAACTGCTTTATTTCATTTCGTATTCTTCTATAGGTGTCTTGAGATGAATGGAGTATTTGATGTTTTGTACGTCGTGTAAGGCTCTCGTTTCTCTATACATTTCTCTTTTATTTCTTTTCTGAACCATGGTATATTATTGTTGTTTCTTATGTTCAGTATGACTTTGCATTTTCCTAGAGCTTCTGTTGCTCCTTCTTGATTCAACAAATTGGTCACTGGACTAAACATCAGAGAAGATGCAAATGAGAATAATTAGAACAATTATCGTTTTACTGATAGAAAAGAAATAAGGATCTAAATAGGACAATTTATTTTAACTTAAATTTTTTAAAAAGTATTGCCAGGAAAAGGATTTGAATTTTTTTTTTACTTGTTAACGTTTTGATGATGCAATTACAAGAAAAGAGATCCAAAAGCATTATTTATCAGGAGCTGTATTAAACATTTTTCAATTGGTTGTAGATAGGTATTGCTCAAAATTATATTCTGTAGAAACGTATAGACGAAATGCTGATCCCGTTAACTTTACATGAGGGGATACTAGAAACCCAGAGCAGAAATAATGAAAAAAAGGTCTGCTAAGAAAGAAGAAATGAATAGATATAATAAATTAAATGGGACTAAAAAGAACAAGATGATTAAAAAGCTAGGAGCAATGAGAGCAAGCTTACTACTTGTTATTTGATTTGTATATTTACGAAAGAAATTAAAGAAGTAATTATATAAATTACCTGCGTTACAGTGGGTTCTTGAGAAAAAGATATATTACCTGTATTGATGATTCGTCATCTGGAAACTGTCCCTTTTTAACACCTTCAATAAGCTCTGTAGTTGTTCCTGAATACAATTTACAGAGTCTATGCCAGTCGTGTATTCCTTCTAGCATGTCATGTGCATAGAACTGAAACGGTTAACACATCATAAATACTTTTTTAATATTAGATCTAAGTGCTACATAGAGTAAATAAAAGTAGAGCTAAGGGCAATACAAATGTTTACATAATACATTTGTCGACTTTTGTCGATAGGACAATTGGATCAGAAGATATCAACTTTTACCGTCTAGCTGATATAAATTTTATTGAACATTGATTTTGCGTGTGTAACTGAAATTCAAAATCAACGGTCGCTTTAAGCCTTGTTTCTGACAGAACGGTTCGTTCTACACAAAAATTGCTAATAAATTTTTTTGTTTAAAATTAACTCAGCTTTACTGGGGGTAAAAGTGGTAAAATTTTTTACATTTTTTTGGGGTCTTAAAATTAATATGTTCGGCAAAATTCAGCTTGTTCTTATAATTTTTAGGGGTCAACTCTCTGAAGACTGAACAATTAAGAGGATTCAAGAGTCTATAATGGAACAAAATCCAGATTAAGATTATTATTTCCGGTACAAATTTCTGGTAAACCCGGATGAAGTAAAAGGTTCATCCCAGTGATGAAAAATGCATCGGTAAATTTAAATAGAAATTAGAGGAACACCAAATATATTTAAAAGGCATTATAGACCTATATACAATGTGTATGCTTCTGTATGGAGTAGAAACGTGGCCATTGAAGGCGGTAACTTTATCAAAACTTCAGGCTTTTGAGCTATAGTTATACATTATAGTTGAGAAAAAACAGCAAAGTGAGTAATATCGACAACGCATCACTGCAGCACTGGGAAAAAAATGGATTAATCCAACCTGCGAAGTACAAAGAAGAATATTGTCCCTGAAACGTACTGTCACACTTATGTAGCACAGGGATGTTTATGTTACAAGAATTTATGATCGTGGCCAATAGAAGAAGGTTATTTTGGAATAGCACCAAAAACTGATAAAGCAGATAAATAACTTCCATGTACAAGTTATACAGGGTGGTCCTTAAATAATTGTACAAAAAGGAACCGTAGATTCTACACTTTAAAATATTACGGTTTAAGTTAAGTTGTTTTAATAAAATGTTCATATTAAGAAAGATACAGGGTGTTAAAGTAAAAATTTAAAATTTTATTTTTCGCTATAACTCTCATGTTTGTCAACATTTATGTATAAAAATTTACAACTGGGTACTATTAAATATCAGAAATTATAATTTGATGTATACTTTGATGTAGCTGATAGAGGGCGCTACATATGGCACATATGTGGCATACATTTGCACTTAACTTTTTTGCTCTTTAAGTTACCGGTATTTTTATATAGAATAAATAATATAATAGAAAATATTAAAGATACAATATTTTAACAAAAAATTGGTATATTTGTTAATATCTTCAAAACTCAATAGTTTTCGGGATAATCGCATTTTAGAAATCAACTACAGAATTCTGATTTATCGCAATTACTTCAGACAACGAAAGAAAATTAAAGAAAAACATCAATACTTCTGACTTTTGGTATAAAATACTTTTAATAAAGTTAACAGTTAACGAATTATTAAATAAATAAATATATCTGCAGGATAAAATAATAGGATTTGATAAATAACAGAATAATAGGATTTTACATCAAACATTTTACGTTTTGTATTAAATTAAAGTCATAATCAAAACATTTTATTAACAAACCAAATTAAGAAATAGTTAAACTAAATAACATTAAACTTTTTGTCAAAGTAAGTGTTTGATATGTCAACCATTTTCTTTAATTCATTTATCAATACATTCATACAGTTACACAATATCAACATTTTATTAAAGCAAGTTGGCTTAAATCGTAATATTTTAAAGTGTAGAATCTGCGGTTTCTTTTTGTACAATTACTTAAGGACCACCCTGTATAAATGAGAAAGAGTCTAACGTAAAAAAATATTGTCGAGGAAATGCTACATTTTCACATTCTATTTTAAGTCCTCTGTAAGTGTTTAAGATAGTTTAACATAGTTTTAATAAAAGCAAGACTAATGTTAAAAATACAACAAAATATGTACTTGAATGTTGATGATAGTCCTCAATAGACTATTCTACAAAGTTTAGGAGAGCACAAAACGTATTGATAAACACTTAAGACATTTTCTTAAGACATCTTAGTCTAAACTATAACAATATAACAGTAAAGCTTTTGTTGAAACGGTGATAATTTCAGATAAAATTTGGAAGAATTGATATAGATATATATTTTAATCAATATTTTTAAATTTATATTAAAATAATATTTACAAAAATAATACTTACCCTTAATTCCAAGTTGCAATTTACGGAACTAAACACAAAAACAAGTACTACAAGAGCAGCTTTCATGTTTTCTAAAGTTTTTCGACCACTTCAATAGAGCTCAAGTATTTACTTGTCATATATTATGAAGACTATTACTGGACAAAACGCCTATAACATTTAACTTCAACAACTGAGTTGCTTCCTTTTGTATTCTTGACACACTAATTTTTATCAATTGTTTTGATTCCCTTGTATACACAAAAGGTCACAATTTAAACAACTTTCCAAAATAATCAACAGATTTTATATTCTAATCGCGCGAAAAATGCGGAAGAAACTAAAAATCATTAATCTGTATTGACAATAAATATTTACTGATATTTGTCTTTATTTCGCATGTAAACAAGATTTATGTGTTTATAGTTTAGAGTTAAATAAGTGATAAAATTGCACTAAAGTTTAAAATAAGAATTTACTACTATACATAGTAAACAATTTCTATTAACCATTGTAGAATAAAAGTGAATAATATTAAGATGAAAAAAAGTTTGGTTTTAGAAATGGGTTGAGAACTCGATAAGCACTATTTCCACTGAATGTGTTACTACAGGTATATCTATAATAACGCAAACATATTTGTGCTGTTAAACACAAGTAAATTAAGATATTAAGAGAAAAATTTAGTAATCGTGACGAGAGAATTATAGAAGAACTATACTGACGTCAAACAGCATCCATTCGCATTAATGGGAAGTCGACTAAGGAATACATACAACTTATATGGAATCACCATGTTTTTTAAATCAATATATATTTCTTTTGAAAATACTTGTTATTGTTGCGAAGAATAAAGGTTTTTATTGAAAATTAACAAACCGATAAAACAATAAGATAATACAGCTCAGTACATTAGATTATTTGCTTTAGTTGTAGATTAAACGAAAATAAATAAACTTAGGGGTTAACGCAGGCGCAAAGGGAAAATAATATTGTTCTTGTGGAATAAAGAATGTCTCAGAGGGGCATAGTGGCAGTGGTAGGCGTAACACAGAACGTTGTGTCAAAAACTACTGCTAGGTATCAGAAATTAGTAACAGTTAAAAATAGACTAAGACAAAGTGGCCAAAAGGTAACAATGGCTCGCCACGATCGTTCCATTGGTTAATTATCTAGAAGAGACCCAACAATTTCTAGCCTACAGCTCTAAATGCATCTTTTGTAAGCTACAGGTGTGGGTATTTCAGTTAAAATGATAGGAAAATTACTTCGTACCCAACAGCTATGCAGCAGTAGATAGTTAAGAGTTCCCGAGCTATCAAGACATCACAATATAGATCGCTTAAATTAGTGTCTAACTGGAACATTGGAGATTAACAAAATGTATTATTTTCCGTCGAAACTAGTATTTGTTAAAATTCAGGAATTCGTGTACTTAGAGAGCGACGAAAACAAGCGAAAACGGAAATTACTAGATTTGTTCATAGATATAAAGAAGAAAGTGTCATGTTTGAAAGAGGCATTATGATAAAAACAGCTCGTAGGTATTTTAATTTAGTTCTAAAAACTGTAGTTAAGCTCTGGAGAGGTTCAATGGGTGAAAATTTAATTTTAATGCATAATAATGCGCCCACATACCAGCAGCAGAGTGATTATAGCCTTTTAGCAGAACATATCAGTGTTCTGGAGTGACCTCGTTGCTCACTTGACCTTAACCCTATAAAGCAATTGAGAAATATGCTTAAAAGAAGAATTAAAGTTCACCGTGCTGGTGTAGTGTTCAAGAAGGAGGGGTTCTGAATTAAGTAGGGGCTCTTTAGTACTTCTTGGAAAGCACACTCGGAGGGTGATAGTTCTTAACCCTAACACGGCACTTGCCAATGGCTAAAAGGAAACGCTCTACAGATATGGTGAGGGACAGGTGTGAATAAGACTTTGCCAAATATAAACCCACCGATCAACTGAGAGCATGGCATAGGGCAGCAGCTATGTTATTACAGGATCGAAACGGTAAAGAAAAATCTCTTTACCGGTATGATACTGAATAATCACAGCCGGTAATTAAGATTAAACCAGTTGTGATACTGCGAAGTAACCCATCATTTGTTGGTTAATAGCTACGGATGGAAGAACTGACATGGTGGTAGGGCACTTCATTGCTCTGGAGCTGAGAAATTTACTTCAAAGGTGAAAGAGCTGAATTATCCAATGTCATTAAGATCTGGAAAGTCACGGGATGACTACATTAAAGATCCGTAAGGACCACAATGGCTGAAAATCCAATACAATCCAATACCCCTTAAGTGTCCCCCGGTCAGCAAATAATGCTCCAAAAGTTAAAAGGATCGTGACGTGGAACATTCGAAGCATGTAACAAGCAGGCAAAGCAGCAAATACTGTTTAAGAAATGACTCTCCTAGATATTTTAGGATGCAGTGAAGTTCGATGGTTATAATTCTGGAATAAGAATTATAGATAAACACCATAATATTCTGGAGACGACACAACAAGAATCAGAAATGGCGTAGTGATAATAATAAAAAGGAAAATAGCTAAAGCAGTAATAGGATTTACGCCCATATCAGACAAAGTTGTGCTATTGAAAATTAACTAAAGTCCCTCTAATATAAACATCATATAGGTCTACGCACGACATCAGAATCCACTGAAGAAGAAATACAAAATTTCTGTCAGACTCTAAAAGACTGACCAAAACACATAAACTTATTATTATTATGGGCAATTTCAATGCCAAAATAGGAAAAACAGGACAAGGTACAGTCGAGATTGTCCTGGGGTCATATGGTCTTGGCATAAAAAACGAAAGAGAAGAAAGACTAATCCAATCTGCCAATAGACAGATATGGTTGTAACAAATACACTGTTTAAATTACATTCAAGAAGACTTTATACATGGAAAGCACCAGGTGATACCTTAGGTAAAATCATAAGAAACCAAATTGATTTTATCAACATAAACAAAACGTTTAGAAATTCTATCAGCTCAACAAAAACATATCCAGGCGCAGATGTCATCTCAGATCATAGTCTATTGGTTGCAAATATTAACATACGTCTAAAAATAATTCATAAGAAAATAAGGCCGAAGATAAATATAATACTACTAAGAAAATGATACCCAAAAAAAGTAAAAACATAAATTAATAAGAATTTTGCGAAAACAGTTGAAGACACTACTAGATGCTTAGACGAAGAGTGGGAGGAAATGAAGACATCCATTACCACAATTTCTTTTGAATATTTAAATCAAAAAAAGAAAAGAAGCAAGAATGGATAACAGATAAAATATTGCAGATAATGGAAGAGCGAAGAAAGTTAAAAGGTAGAAGTGACAACGAATACAAAAAGTTATATAAGACTATACTAAAGTAGATAAAAGGAGCAAAAGAAGCATAGCTGACGGAGAAATGTATGGAAATTGAAACAGTACAACGCAAACATGACGATTTCCATATGCACAAAAAATTAAAGAGGCACAGAATACCAGAAAACAACGCAATACAGACATAGTTGTAGACATTAAAGGCCCAATTTTGACTACCATTGAAGATCAATTATGAAGATGGAAAGAATATCAAGAATTATTCGAAGATAAAGCACGAAGTCCGACTGAAATAAACAATCCCTACGGCCCAGAAATAACAAATGAATAAGTAACTATCTGAATATTAAGCGGATTAAAGATGGGAAATCAGCAGGATCTGATGAGGTTGATGGTGAAATTTAAAAGCTATTAAAGGCGCACCAAATCAAAGTCCTTACGAAGTTATTCAACAACATTTACGAGACTGGTTACTTACCAAAAGACTTGCTACTATCAATATTCATTTAAAAATAAAATAAATGTTTTGTAATATCTCCATCAGTATTGATAATAGCTTGTAGCCTTCGGTTCATCTATGTGAAAGGAACTAATGATGTTATTCTGGAGCCACTGCTTTATTATATTTGCAGTGTGAACAGGACAATTATCTTGTTAGAGGAAACATTATTTTCTGCATACAACTGTTCCCAACTACATTGGGAAACATGATGTTTTTTAGAATGTTCAGATAAGTCTGCCCAACAAACCTGCCATTCCTCTCGATGAAATCTATTTCCATACATTGGCTTTACAATAACTAGCTGCTCGATATCTATCAACATATTTATAGAGGACTAATCTATTATTATCTGGTTTATACAACCCAATTTTGCCCTTTTTAGAACATTAAAAAAATTTCTCGTCTGTAAATATTATCTTGATTTTGTAGCTGATGGTTTAAAGCAAATATAAGTCCTGATTGCTTCTGTTGTGGTGTAACAGCCTGTTTTTTTGCTGCAGTTCGATACCTAAGAAGAAATGCTTTATTTCTGCATTTATTTGTCTTTCTTCCAAGATTCAAATGGATTTTCTTCTAATCTCTGCAAAAGCGTACGATCTTCATGAGCGGTAGATATTTTTGGTCTTCTTCCAAAATCTTGCTTTCTCTCGAGAGTTTCTTGTTATCCATCTCTTATTAAATGGTTCGCTACGGCCAACCAAACATCTTCTAATTTCGTTACAATTCGTAACAGAATAAGTTATGAGATAAATTTTAAGATTTGGCAGTAACAGTGACAGTATGAATATAATAAATATTTATCCGTTAAAATACACTGTTCAATTTTCTACAAAATATGCAAAAAAAGAATCGTATCCGCTATATTTAGTGGACTATAGTGGAACGAGAGGTCGCAATTAACTGTTCTTTAAAACCCTTATCCGGGCAAGATATTTTTCTGACGTAATCGGGCAACTCGGGTCCGTTGGACCCACTGTTCTTGAATATATTATTCATATTAATATTTGTATATTTCTAACATTCTTTTTTGATTTTTTTATTGAAGTTATATTTAAATTGGCTAGATTATTAAAAAAAACAATAGATTAATCAACTATTTTTCTTTATTGCAGTATTCACAAACTTTTTTAATTATACAGTGATCGTTACACACATTTCTACTACATATTTCACAAATTTGTTTCTGTTTCCTGTCCTTTTTTGTTGGGCAAATATGACACCTTTTCTTTGTTGAAACTGGAG